TGAAATGAATTAGGTTCTTCATAATCAAATGAATCTCATAACGAGATATAAAAAATGGATAAGTAAGATTTTAAATAGATTGCAAACTATATTTCTATTATACTATTAAGGCCTATTATTATAATTTAATAACTTCAGGATTTTATTTTTTTTATTTATTTAGTTTTCCTATTCTTATTAGTATTAAACTGCCTACTGTTACAATTTTACTAATTTAGGATTTTATTTATTTTTAAGTCTTTAGTTTTCCTATTCTTATTAGTACTAGGGAAAAAATTACGTAACAACCACTATAAATATCTTTATAATATCACTTTTAAGAGATAAGTCAGTTATTCAATAAATGAGTTCATGAGAATTCTGTAAGTCTTCCTAGCGGAGTGGTGCAGTCAACCCTTCACAGCCGAGTGGTGCAGTCAACCCTTTACGACCGAGTGGTGCAGTCAACCCTTTACGTGTGACAATTCTTAATCGTCACATGTAATACCTAAGCAATCTAATTGATATCTAGATTTTATTCCCAAATTTCCAAATAGGCAAATATTGTCCAACATCAAACTCCTAACACCTCTTCCCTCAAGAACAGGGGAAAAGAACAGAAAGGAAAAAAAAAATTATTAAAAAATCAATTTTCTAAAAAGACAGATTACTAGGTAAGCTTGCATTTCATCAAAAATTGATGCAATCATAGTTACATAGAAGTTACCATACACCATCTGACACTTACTTTGAGCATCATAAATAAAATTCGATCATTAATCCTTATGCCATTTTGTAATAGGGGCAAATCTAAGCATATCCAGTCCTGAATCTTGCAACTCAAAAACCCAAAATAAGATTGATGTAGCATAGCAACGTAGAAATGTATATCTTGACTTCTCATCAGAAAAAAAATTTAGAAAATTGGTGTCTTCTCCTTGAGATTAAGGATCAATATGTTATGTAAGAGAAAAATTAGAATGCAATTTATTCATGGTTTAAATCAAAAGATGCCCACTTCAATCATGAACAAGTCAAAGAAGAAAGCAATCACAGCGCAGCAGAATTTCATGACTATTGAAGGAAATCTATGAAAGTAACCATAAGAAATTAAAATTCCTCTGTCAAATGCAAGAGAATCACGTATATGATAAAGGAATACCCATGCTCCTTCCCTGGCCCAATGCACGCATGTGGACCCACCATGAAAAACAAGTAATTCCTTGAGAGGACAAAGGGCAGTGTTTCTCTCCAAAAAAGGGCAGTATCATGGCAAAGTAAACTATTCCCATTGAGTACCATGCCACCATGCCCAACAGAAATACAATAGATCCAAGATCATTAATTCATCAAGGTTGTACCACTGCCACCTGTCATCTGACCAACTACATGACTTGCAAGGCAAACAAGCATTTGTTTGCACCAAAAGTCATGAACTGCATGTTGAGGGGTCATGCAAAAAAGGCACCCCAACTACCACGCTATTGGGAGGGATATGAACAACCTTCAAAATTAAGATGGCATATGAAACCCATGCCAGAATGCTAATGAAGATATATTAGATCCTCCTGTTGGAGTTTGTGCATTCACTTGCATACTATATCCAAAATTTAACCTCTATAGAGCACGGCTAAAGAAATAAAAGAATCCTAACTTCTTCAATACTAAACTCCAACATTGACAACTAGAAGATTACCATAAAAGCATTTTCTGTAACATCACATGCCACCCTCTGACTTCTTAGGGGTTAAACTGATTAAGTAGCCCACAATAATCTTTTGGTAACATTTCGTTCCAACAATCAATGAGAAAAAATTTAGAAAACGCTTACTGCTCTTTGTCTCAACTAAGTAACAAGCAACCTAGACTCATGAAGTACTTCGTTCCGTTTAAGAACTTCCCTCTAGGTTACATGATCAGTTCAACTCACCCAATAACTTCATTCTGATCAGTAGAATAATAAGAAGGACGAGAAAGAAGAAGCTATCAAATTTTCTAAAAGAACTATGACAACAGAACTTCCCCTAAAGAAAACAATCACTTTTACTACTCAATTTCCTCTCAGTAACTCATTGCACAAACCCCTTCGAGTTAAACACAAAAATAAACGAAATTAACTAGAAACCTGTAAAAAAGTGTAGAATATTAAAGAACGAAGCCGCAATTAAATCAAGTAACCGAATAGAAAAATACCACAAATCTTGATAGGACCTTCGAGCTCGAGAAGATTAGGCTGACTAAGGAAGATGTCCTTAGACGCCAAGCAAAGCTGACGTATCTCGGCCTCCGTCAGTAGCACCTGCTTCGCGGCCCTCCCATTCTTAGCCTCTGTCAACCTTCTTATGATATCATCAAGTACACTTTCATCCATTGACGCCGACCAGAAAAGGGAAAAATAAATAAATCTATACCCAAAAAAAAAAATGAAACCCTAATTATCTCTCTCCCTCAAGAACAAACAAAACTAACTAAAATAAAAACAGAGAGATCGTTTATTTCTCTCTTCTTCTCTATCAAAAGTCAAAGAAGTCCGATTCTGATGGTGAAATGAGAGGGCTTTTGCTTCAACTAAAGCGAGGAGGCAGAGGAGAACTATCTGCCGCTAAACCAAACGCCGGAAAGAGAATCCGACGACAGGGATTTTGGGCTGGAGGAGGAAGGTCAATGGCAAAGCAAAGCGGTGGATTGCGTGACACCAATTTCCCGCTCGCCGTCGTTAGGGTGTTAAATATTATACATATATATATATATATAACGAGAAAGAAAATGGAAATGCCACTAACAATCAAAGTCTACTACTTGCTTGGTTGGGACTTGGAGGGAGAAGAGGACCCATTGAAAAGAAGCCCTGCTAAAAGGGCTGTCAGTGTGTGCGCCGTGCGGGTGTGGAACCCTATCTGCAAACTGAAGCGCATGTGACTCGAACGTGGGAAGAGTTGGACTAGGCGCTCATTACGATATATATAAAATTAATTTTGGATTGTGGTCAACTTATTCTTCTTCTCCTTTATAATCATGATGATGATAATCATGATCATGATGATGTGATTATATGCTTCCACTTACCAATGATATAGACAGTCATGTATTTATTAGTACAAAAAATCTCAATTTTCTTTTTCTTTATCTTTATGGTCTTTGTTAGGGAATAATTTTTTTCATGATAAAAATTTTATTTATTCACTAAACAAAAGAATATAACTTTTTTAAGTAAAAATTTATACATTTATCTATTAATTGATCCATAAGTACTAATTATAATATAATAAAAAAATAATTTTCAAACAAAAATAAGCACAAATATAGTTTATAAAAATGATCATCTTAACCATTCAGCTAAATTATTATTAATATATCACATATAACTTATAAATTATACTAATTAGGTATGTCATAAAATAAATAAATTCTTATTAATAGTTTTTCTACCAATTAATAATCAAACACCCATTTTCAAGAGCTTTTACCTCACATCACCTATAACAACTGTTACATTTTTTGCTGGTGCAATATTGTTAATGAATTCAAATAAATTATATTTTTTTTAAAAAATCGGCATTCTTACTTTTAATAAAATATTTTTTCTAATTATCTTAATTACTTTTTGGTGTTTATGCTCTAACTTAGGTACAAAGTATCGCCTATTCAAAAACAACTCAAAGCAAGATCTATTTTGTAATTTTAAGTGTATATAGAATTGTACTATATTCATTTTTTACCAGGTCATGAAAGATAAAATTTTATTAATTGCATTTTCATATGAACAGTAAAAAATAAGCAGATAAATAACTAGTATATGAATATGACTAGAATAATTAACAGCATTATAACCATTTTAAAGGCTAATAATAATGTGTTAGTGCTAGTAGAGTTAGTAAATTATTAATAGTGTAATTTTCTTATTCCTAAACACCTTAAACATTTGATTGTACTATATTTTGATATGAGTCAGGTGTCTTACTTTTGGTATCAAATGGTGTGAATTTTTTCTTTGTTACATATACTCTTTTATTTTCCTCTTTTTTAGGTCATTCCGAGTTATAGGTAAGGGTGGTATGTGACGTGCCCCTCCTTTTGTACTTGAGTTATTTCTCGGTCTTTATGTGATATACACTATGTCCTCCAACTCCAGATAGTTTTGTAACTCTATAATATTAGCAATTTCTATATTAAGACCTCCTAAGAATCTTGTCATGGTAGTATCGAGATCTTCTTTGATATTGGCTATAATCATGAACATCTTCATCTCCTTATGATAATTCTCAATGAACATAGGTCTC